ATTTTCAAAAATCCAATGTCGCGCTTGGAACGTTTTCAGAGCCAACTCTGAGCTCAATATAAAAAAATCATTAAACAACCTCAGATCTACCTTGTTTCGAATTTAGAGCCAGTTCTAGGTTCGAAACTGATAATTTATATTTCGTTAGCTATAGCCAGCTTTAAGACTGACAATTTAAAAAAGATTTAAGGGCAATTACTGTGTTAGTACCTAATTTAAGATCGATTTTCATAAATTGAAAAGGGGTGGATGTCGTTCTAGATCTGAAACTGGTTCCCTCCTCCAGACTTTCGGGAATGACAACGCCAATCGAATTACGACTGGTTCTGACTCCTTGGTACTTTTCCGGCTCGCTTGCAAATGCCGAGTCTATTACACTGGTTGCAAATGATAATTATGTCACATTTATATCCTTATTACACACATGCGCATAAAAGTGATGTCCACATTTCCCATCACACCTCATAAACTCTCACACACAAATTTTGTTTTGTTTTGTTGTTTAAGAAAGAGAGAAGTAGTCTAGTGATTAAGTCCTTTCGACCAAGGAATTATTGGTTGTAGCCCTAATTTGACCACGACCATTCTTCTTTAAATGACAAGGGACTTGAAATAATCAATGCCAGTTGCTATAACTAGTTTCACAACATGCCACACGGAATTTGCCATAAATGTTTTCAATTTCGATCTCTGACCTAGCTCTGAATTACAGGCAAAATCATTTTTTTTGCTCGTTCGATACTAGTCAATAATGAATATCAATCTTAGTGATTTCGTAATATTCGCTTTAACAACAAAAAATGAAATTGGATAAAAATCTAACAACAAGTTCTGAGTTCTATGTAAGCTTATTTTTGTTGTCCTTTTCAATAAATTTTGAAAATCAATCTAGTAATTTTCTATTTACGCCGAGTTTGATGCAAGCACAATATTTACCCCTTTATTTAAAAAAGAAATTCGAACTTTAAACTAGCTCTGAATAGGAGACCAGTTCGGTATTCGCTCCTTTAATTTTTTTTTAAATCAATATTATAGCTAACTCATGATAAGATTTGCTTGCATATCTATCTTGTAAATTGAATGTTTATCTCTGAACTGGTTCAATTTTATCTAAATAATCATTGGTTAAGTGAATTTTGAATAAGTGTTTGTGAGTTTGATACTTGCACGATATTTGTCTTTTGCAAAAATATCGATCGATCGGCTGGCTCGAAATTTTAAGCAAGCTCGAAATAGCATAATAGCCTACTAACTAAAACACGTTCTCGAACAAGGTGAAAATCCAAAGCTTGATGGAAATAAATCATAATGTGCGATTTAGCCTTGAGAGCTGACCTTTTTTCTTTGATTGTTCTTTTTTTATTATCTTTTTAAATTTTTAAGATTTTGACCTATTGATATACATACACATGTTAATTTTGTTTGAAGAGTATCAAAGCGTCGTATTTACCTCAGCTTCGATAAATGTTACATTTTGTCCGTAACCAATTAGGTAGCAAGAATCATTGAAACGTGTCCAGCCATTTTGGCAGCAGCACGAACACACTTATGAAAAAGAAAGTTATACAATAAAAAAATAAATTGTGACAGAAATATTCAAGTTATAACAAGTAAATATTATAGCATACATATTATAACATTAAGATTAAGAAAATGGCGTCACTGTTATCATTTAAAATGAGAAAATGTGATCAGTGAGATTAGTAACTTGTTCATTTGATTCAGATTACAATCACTGTCAAACTTAACTATTTGTAACGACGGAAGATTTAGTTAATATTATATACCACATTTGATTCTCAACTATTTGACTAATTGCATCAAAAATTGCAGGATATACAAGTATTTATTACTTGTACTCATCCTTTGGCAAGACATCTTGATAAAAGTGCACCAATTGGTCATACAAAAGCTCGTACATGTAAATTTAGATTGATATATCCCTACATAAAACAGACAAAACGTAAAATGCAGCTTTTGTTTTATTTTGTAGTTCTTTCGTTGCATGTTCGTTGCATGTTTGTCCTTATCCAAAATTTGATAATTGATTACGTTTAAAGTACAAGGACCGTTATCACAAACTTAAACAATATTCGTCCTGATAGTTGCGCTCTACCCTGTTGATATGTGTATCAATATAGAAAAAAAATCCCGTTTGTTTGCTCCCGTTTAAAGGCAACATTGACACATTACTGGTCATACAGTGCCGAACACTTTCCACGTATAAAGAATGAATTGGTTTTAGCGAGTAAAATACACGTTGACTTCTTTTATGTAATAGATCAGGGTTTTGGATGGTACTGAGGCATAAAGTTTTTTTAATTGAAATGACTTGATTTAAAAAATATGTTTTTAACTCAAATGTTATCGTTTCATAATAATGCATATATCACACATTGCAGGTTAAGTTTTTGAAGAAATTTATCTGTAGAAATTGCATAAAACGAACACATTACGACGCTGTTGATTCATTCGTATTTAACGATATTCGTACAAAAAGGTTAGAAGAATATACTAATAAATCAATGGATTAATAATATAATATTTTCAAACAAGTTTTAAGTGTATGTTGCAAGATTATTTACAAAACGTTGATATTGTCCTTTTATTAGGGAGTATATATAAACTTGAAAATATATTATATAATATTAATTATTATACTGTGTTTTCATTTCAAACTGGAATCAATAATGGCAATGTTACCAAAAGGCGAAGCAACATGATTTACCTGTTATGAAAGTTCCTATCCCGAATAAAACAGTAAAATAGAACATACTTGACTGACAAATTATTATCTTCTCGTGTATTAAGAACATTCAGTAAATTAACTGAAATAAGGTCAGTAAGATAAGATCACTACTATCAGTTGTTTGTATATGACGTGGCATACTGATTCAAAGATTTAACATCATTGTCTGTGTAAAAGAAAAGGTGAAGACTTTACAACTGACTACACGGAACATATTCTAATCGTAAAATGTGAAAGAAATAATAAAACAAAAGAATGAAGTGAGAATGGTAGACCCTAGTGTTCATGAAAAGAATAAGGAAAAATCCATTTTTAAGTGAAAATATGAAAATGACCAAGTACTAATGGAAAATGAGACAATGCTAAATAAAAGCAAAACAACGTCACTGAATTGTTTCTTGTTTTCTTCAAGTGGCTATGGTAACTAAAGAAATCACTTTAGGATGTGTCTATTTACTTTGTATTACTGGGGGGGGGGGGTTCACTCCCGAGGCGACAGGCTGCTACGTTATTGATGTAGAGACCAGGTCTTGTATTATAATAAATAAGCAAACACCAAGTTTATTGATTCAATCTATTTAATAACTGTATAAACAAAAGATGTATATGCTGAGCGTAATTTTTTTTAAGTTATCAAAAAATTTATAGAAATTAATCAAATTTTAACTAACACTCATGGAAAACAAACCAACATATTTACATCATATTTTTTTTTTATATGATAATATTTAAAGTAAGATAGATTAATAACTTTTACCAAAGTTTTACGAAATGAAAATTAATTTACATGAAAAACAGATGGTGCATTCTAACTATTGCTTCAAAAAATGCGAATAAAATCTTACTTTATACATGAAATTTTTACTATGTAACTAACATTATTACATAACATTTCAATCACTTAGTTTCAAAAAATGAAATTACAAAAAGTTGTCGAAATACAAAATAATTAAATTCTATAACGTTACATCTCCAAAATGAATTATGAATTAAAAGGTATAATCTGTTGATCAAAATATAACAAACATATTTTTATCAAAATAAAAAAAAAAATAACAAACACTGTTATGTAATAGAATATGAACAAATACAAAGAAGAGGAAACACCTCAAAACTTCTACATCTGCATAGCCTGTGTCAGAATAATCGAACAGTTTTATTGTAGATATATGTTTTTAAAAAGAGTTAATGTCTTCCTACAGCGATACACTGAAGTGTATCAAATTTCAATGAACAGTGTATTTATAAACCTGTTGCTGTGGTTTAAATTTCTACACGTCAATGTCAAATAGAAAGAGATTTTACATCAGTTTAGGAGAGACACACTTATAGTGTGTAGCGTTTATTTTTTGTTGAGAAGAGAATTTGCTGTTTTGAAGGGAGTTTTGTTGATTTGTTGAAGTTGGTAAAATATAATTGTGGAGATCTTAATTGGTCAGGGTTTATTGGTTGTAATTAAGTGTTTTGGTTGTTGAGTTATTTCTGTTTGTGAAGATATACTTGGTTGATATTGGTTGAATGTTTGGTCTTGTCAAGATTATATTAGTTGATGCTTTGTTTTTGAAGATATTTGTAAACATTTGGTGCTTTAGTTTGCTTTTCTGATGCTGGTTAGATTTGTGAAGCTAATAGTGTATGTTGAATGTTTGTGGTTTGAAATGTATCTTAGAGTTGTAAAAATATTTATATTTGTGCTCTTCATTTTGTGGTGATTTTATTGTTTTGTTTGATCAAGTTGTTTCAAGCTTGGGTTCGCCAGATATCTAGTATTGTTTCGTATAAGAGACGTGTACATGATAAGTGGCTTATGAATGATGTGTGTTTGTTTTGGGTGTAAATAATGATCAGAGTTCTTTTGGGTGTAAATAATAACCAGTGTTTGTTGTTTACATGTATATATGGAATTTAAATAAAACAACAGATAAAATACCTAAAAAATAGTGTTAACAATACAATAACATGCTAGTTTTTCCAACCAAGAATATTTCAATTTTATGTCAGGCACTGCTGCCTTCTAGTATTTATTACTAAATCATTTCTTAGATTTGATAACATCAAGGCAGTCATTCTCCTGACGGTATGTAACATGTTTTCCACATGTAAATTTAAAGGTTAAAAGACTGTAAACGACTGGAATTTTTAGAATTTAAAAGATTAAAACTATTTGCATTTAAAGGCACATTATGCCTCAGAAATGATTAAATGTTTACTTTTTTATAAAAGGTAAAGATGAATTTTATAACATAATCGTTATTTAAGAACATGTTAGATGCTTGTTATCTGAAGAGAGTAGCGTTAAATGTGAAACAATTTTTCAATAAAAAAGCAAAATGTAAACAAAGTATTTTTTGACTTCCATTCACAATTCTAACAACAGAAGAAGTAAAAGATTGTTTCGTTAACTGGTAAATTAGTAACATTTTGGAAGCTATAATTATAATTGTTTTATTCGAACATAGTAATAAGTAATACTGCTTTTAACTTTCTACCAGGAGCTCTCGATGTTGTTCGTTCATATGTGCGCGCATGCGTGGGCGGGCGGGCGTGTGTTCATTTGTTTCATACCTGTTTGTGTTGCAAGAAATAGAAATTTCATGATCTCATCGCAAACAATTGTTAATCTAAAAGAAAACACGTTTTAATTTTAAAGAATAACATACATGTGTCATTATCTTCAAAGTATTTACGGATAACCCTATACGTTAGTTTTAGTCACTTTTGTTAATATTTATTGCGATGCATGATCTCGTTTCTTGATTTGACTGGTTTTTTTTACAAAATAGTTGAAGCAATTTAAGAAGCCCTGATGAATATTGAACATAACTAAATGATAGAAAATATTCTTATTCCTATCAATTTGACATCGATATTGGTGTATCCCTTCATGTGTCAGGTTAAAAACGAGCGTTTGCGAAACTTTAGTAAGTTTAAAACACGATTAAGAACATTATTGATATAAAAAACGGATTAAGTAAACAACTTGAATATACTTATACTGTGTTAAACTCTGTCTTCCTCGATGGTATTAACGGCAACAAGGGTTGGAGCTTCATCTGTTATTTAATGAGGTCTATAGCTGACGTTTAAGATTACTACAGATGTGAATAACAAGAGTATTCAGAATACCATTCGACACATGTACTTAACAATATTAAATTATGAATAGGAAAATTAAGATGATAGAAATTGTTACACTTTATAATGCTTTAGTGAAAACGGGACAACAAATTAGTTTGAATAATTATACAATTTTTCTTATTTTTTGAATAAACATTTTGCCATACAATTTGACTTCTTTTGATATTCATGAAATATATAAACATCACTTCCTGTAAGTTATATATTTATATTTATTAAGCAGTACTTATTTCTAACGTAGCATGGCAAAGATTTAAACCGTGTCCAGTTTATTTGTACGGAAACCGCCTGGATGTGTTATCTTCAACTTCCTTCTGTACGTATTTCCCTGGAATTAATCCACGTCTCCCGCTTGCTTCAGCAAAGAACCAACCGTTTTTATATTTGTCCCAAACCATCACAACTTCTCCTGCCTTGATTCCGATGTCATTATGCATGCTTGGTTCGTAATCGTACAAAGCTGTATATTTTTCTTAACATAAAGAAAACCCAATTAAATGTAATGAATACTTCACTGGTGCCGTTCATATGGCTTTGCAGTCTTTAATTTATTACATAAATATTTTTCTTATTACGTTTCGTACAATAACGTTCAGCAAAAAAATCAGCTAATCAAAGTTTATAAATCAATTTTAGTTAAAAAAGAAAAGTTTAAACATGCAGTAACATTCAGTCTAAATATTTCGTGCATAATATCATTTAAAATTACAGTTAATTATAGAATCATTAATTTCAAGCGACAAACACAAGTGATTTCGGTGATATCAATCTTGAACACTTAATTTAAGTTTTCTTCATTATCGATATCAAGTACGAAATATAGAAATGTTTACTTGTTTCAGTAGAATTTACCTGGCTGTTGAGGTTCTGGTTTCATATCTTGATCTGATTGTACATGCAATACAGGATCAGGATGTGCTGCCTGCTTTTGTTCTGTACTTTGTATTGGAGATCCTAAACATTAAAACATCATTTGTTTCTTTATATTTAGCCTGGTGATTTTGTGTAAAAGATTTGCAAAACTTTGGATTTAAAACAGGTCATTTAAGTGTCAGTAAAGAAAAAAGGTTTCAGTAATTAAGCTTCCAACAGTTAAGAGCCTGGTCGGGGCTCCCGTGACCGAGTGCTTGGGGTTATTGTCTTAAACCATTTGCCCCTCACTGCTGTGAATTCAATCATGTGAGAAAACTATTCAGCTAGCTACGTTGATGGTTCTGCTCAGGTACTGCGCATGTCTGAAATAATGCAAAGAGGGGCGCCTGAGGATTAACTCAACCACGAAAGCTGGACATTCTCAATACGACCACTACACATTACAGTGTTGGTGTGATTTTGAACCAAAAAAGAACCCAACTTAAGTTTGTCAGACTGCACGGTTGCGGAATCTGACATTGATTTATACTTTTTACTTCCGGCTAAATAGGATAAGCGGTCGAATAATCTTTAATTACAAATCCTTAAACCAGTTTTTCAAAATTGAAAGTCATGAAAATTAGATTGTTTTAAGGCGAGGGCGGGCCGAAGATGAACAGGCGGGCGCGGAAGCAATAATCACAGTAACATTACAAGATAATTGCAGATTCGATTTGATTGAGTCTGTACCTGAGGGATAGTGAATACGTGCAACATCCCTCACGCTTCCTAGCACCGGCTTGAGCGGTTCTCATTTCTCAACACTTAATAGTGCTGGCATCAATGATCCCAAAAGACCGGACAAATATAACAACACTGAAGTGAAGTAAAGTAACTTTTTACAGCTACCACACAACACTTGCCACCTGCTGTTGTGAAGTATAAAAATCTTGAAACAAAGTGATCCCTCGGCAGCATTCATCACAACAATACTTACCACCGTTTCAAACCATTTTTTTAATTCATAGTTTCACCATAACCATGATTTAATGTTAAATATTGCTAAAGCCGTTGGTAGGGCGTGTGGACGATAGTTTTTCTTGACAGTACCGTCCATGAACAGGCTTTAATAACTAGAGTTTGAAATGAGTTTTTTAAATGTAACTTAAGTCTTATAAGGCATATGTAAAGACAATATGTAGGGCCGATGTCACTGCTTCTGTACTTTGGTGCCAAGTGCTCTCTCGTTGCCGTATGGTTTCAGGCAAGGGTTTCAATACATTCGGAGGTGCAGCTATATAAAATATGTTGTTAAATGGTAATGCTGTTAATTCTAAAATGAAAGTCAATTGCAAAAATTCTAACGTGGTTCTTAATTATAAATTTCCATTTCTCAAAATCGATTTCCATAAGTCTCGGAAGGAAACAAAAGTGATAATAACTTTAGATAAAAAAAAAACATACGAAAGAATTTTTACTTAATAACGAATAATAAAGTATTGTAAAATACATATCATCATCATCATATATAGAGCGAGGTTTAAAATTCCCTTCAGGTATTCATTATGCGAACAGTATAAAAGGAGATGCCATTTTATATTAAAAATTATTTTATATTTTTGCCGTGCCGAAATTTTCTTATTATTATGGTTTAAAATCATTGCGACTTGCATCCTATTCAGACCATTAGAAAATTATCAAAATCTGTTAAGTCACCATCTGGATTGCCAGCCTTCCGTACGTAACTCCTAGGGAAGAATCCGTATTTTCCGTTTGCTTCACCATAGAACCAATCATTATGTCGCTCCAAGACCGTCACTAAATGTCCTGCCTTGATTTCGATTTCAACATGACATTCTGGTTTGAAATCGTACAAAGCTATATATTTTTCTAAACAAAAAGAAAAACAATAAATGTAATGAATATTCCATCGGATAAATGTGCCTTTGCAGACTATAATTTACTACTTAGTATTGCTTATTACGTTTTGGACACTAACGCTCAGCAAAAATATTGAACTTATTACAAGTCAAGAAAAGTAATGTTAAAAATCCGTTCCATTTCAGTTAAGTAGAAAGAAGGTTCAAATATACATGAACTTTCAGTCTAAATAATTTGTTCATAATGTAATTAAGTAAGTTACAGTTAATTATCGAAACATTAATCTTAAGCCACAAATACAAGTAAATTCGGTGATATCTCTTCAAGATGTTTTCATTCATTTTCAATTTAATTATACACACATGTATTCTTGCTTCATTTGATTTATACCTGGTTGTTGTTGCGGTACCGGTATCTTATCTTGACCTGATTGTACAGGAAACATAGGATCCGACTGTGCTGCCTGCCCCCTTTCTGTACTTAAAATTGGGGATCCTATACATAAAAAAGCATTTATTTCTTAACATTTAGTCTTGAAAATTTGGGTATAAGTTTTAAAAGCTTTTGATTTACAACAATTTATTTTCACGTTTAGGAGCTTCAGTAATTGAGCTATCAACAGTCCAGTTCCTGGTCAAGGCTCTTTGACCGAGTGCTTAAGATCATTGCAATAGGCTCCTTACTATTTGTCCCTCACTGCCGTGAATTCATTCATATGATGCAGCTATTCAGCCTGCTTACGGAACGTTGGTCGTACTCTTGAGTGTATGACATCTCGACCCCTCGACACCCCGACTCCTTAGACGACATTTCGACCCATGACATTTAGACCCCTAAGACACTTAGACCCTTTAAATGTACTGGACATTTCGACCTCTTATTCTATAATGTTCTTGCAGACGTTAAAGAGTTATTATCAACATTGCAGTAAATGCTTAAACGGAAATAAATGACTCTTTTATAAGCAAACATGTTTACGGTTTATATTGTACTATTTTAAATGATAATTATTTTTTGAAACAAAAGCGTTTTTTTTATTATCTGAAGCGTATGTAAGCGGCCATTGTTGACCCGCTTACGTCAACAACAACAACAATTTAATGATGGCAGAACAATTATCACAGGTAATAATTACCTATTAATAAATTACCAATGGCACGTGCCTGATATTCATTGGGCACGCGTTTTTACACCATTTAGATAATGTTATTAAGTATTGACTTGAAGATATTAAATAATTTTCTTAACTTGTAATTGTCGAAAATATTGCTTTTGAAGCTTATTTTGGCAATATTTCACTGAAACTAATAGCAAAGAACATGCGTATATGAAATGTGAGATATATTAAAACTTTTTGGAAATTATCTTAATTTTTATGTTACAAATTATATAAGAAATAGATGAGACTGTCTCATTTTTTTGTCAATATAACTACAATTCTACATAATTATCATATTTTACATTATAGTTGTAAATTATAATACATGTAATTCTCGAAATACGTTTAAATTAAAATTAATTTAATTGTCAAATAACAACCTTTATTGATTGATTGGTATTTTGTTTTTGAATTCATAATGTAAATAAAATAAAAATGAGAGCATCGCTACTTTGACAAGTCAATTCAATATATAACATAAATTAAGTAGACATGTAAAAGAATTCATCGCCAATATAACATGTTTGTCATAGAAAAAATAAACTAAATTTTTACAAACTTGTAGAAATTGTAGATATAAATTAATATGCAATACACAAACCGCGTATTTTCATTATTATCATTATCATAGTTTGTTTGGTCTTATTTGATATATATTATACCTATCTGCGATTCCAAAGTACAAAAATTGAGATAGCGGTCGAAATGTCTAACCCACTAGGGGTCGAAAAGTCATGTTAAAAGGGGTCTAAGTGTCAAGGGGTCTAGAAGTCAATTTAATATCGTAAGGGTTCGAAAAATCAAGGAGTCTAAATGTCTTACTTGCGTACTCTTCAGATACCGCACGAGTCAGAAATAATGCAAGGTTGGGCACCTGAGGTTTTACTCACTATAAAAGCTGGAAATATGGCCAATACTCTTTACAGTGTTGGCATGACTTTAAACCGAAAAAAATCCTAAAATAGAGCCTTTTCAGAGCGCATAGTTGCAGAATCTTGATTTATACTTGGATTTATATTTGTGGTGAAGATTATTCAGGATTAAAGGTTGAATAATTTTCAATTCAAAATCATTTAATCAGGTTTTCAAAATTAAACGTTCTGACAATTTGATTGTTTTTTAGGTGAGCGAGAGTGCGGTTGTAGATGAACGAGCGGGCGAAGGTCAAACAAGAAACGCTTTCAGTTACTTGGGGCCCATACGCCGCTTTTCATTGAATGGCACTAACGTGTCACATTGAAAGTTCCATGCTAACCGTCGTAAAGATACATCTGCGGATGATTAAATGTTGAACTCTGCTTAAACTGGTGCTATTGAGCGTGGACGATTGTTTGCACTTGACATTTTCTTCCATTAGCAAGCTCAATTAAACCGAGCATGCAACATTTTTAATTTTGCCGCTTTGGACTTTCTTTAGGGATTCTTAAATTCTTTATTGGGTCCCTAGAGTCAGGATCAATATCATTGTTACTAAGCATAGAAAAGCGGTTTCCGGTCAATGACTTAGCAAAGATTGATACACAAATGTACATTGTATTAAAATGAATCTTGTATGACAAGCTTTTGTAATGAGCCCTCTTGCGATTGCTTTTGGCTCCTCCTGGGTAAAAGTTCTGTTAAGGTTCTGTTACTGTTACAAATGAAAAAACAAACAGATAGGAATAAGAAGGCGCCGGGACGATTTCCCACCAAATTTCTTTAAATACACATTTGATTTAATTATGTCATTAATGGTTACTTTATTTAACAGATTATTTGCTAAAGGGGAATTTCCAGATTCATGGAGTACCGATATTATAATACCATTGCGCAAAAAGGGTAATCGTAATGATCCAGCGAATTATCGCGGAATCTCTTTGCTTAACATTTTTAGTAAGATATACACATCCATTTCAAATAGACGACTATCTTTTTATGCCAATGTTTTTAATAAAATAGACGAATGCCAATCTGGATTTAGAGCTGGTTATAGTACAACAGAAAATGCATTTGTTCTGCAATCGCTTATTTCTAAGGCACTTTCAAAGAAAAGGGGCAACTTATATGTTGCATTCGTTGATTTCAAAACAGCATTTGATTCTGTCAATCGTAACAAGCTTCGGCAAATACTTTACGATGCTAATATAAGGGGAAATCTTTTAAATTCTATTATTGCTATGTATAATAATGAATAATGTAAAAGCATGTGTACGTTCTAACGATCAAATCTCAGATTATTTTAATTGCCCGATGGGCCTCAAGCAGGGATGTTCTCAGAAATTGTTCTCATTTTTCATAAATGAATTATCAGTTATGATGAACAATGACGATAAAATTAAAGGTATACAGATAATGCAAAATGAAATTTCAATATGGCTGCTTATGTTTGCGGATGGCGTAGCCTTGATTGCACAAACAGTAAGAGATTTACAATATCAACTAAATGTATTAGAAACGTTTTGCAAGTCTAGTTGTTTGCAAGTAAATATATCAAAAACAGAAGTCATGGTTTTAAAAAAGGGTAGTCGATTAGCGCGTAATGAATGTTTTTATTATAATAATCAGCAACTTGAAATAGTTAATTCTTTTACCTATGTTGGAGTAACATTTACATCCACTATGTCGTTAGATATTATGAGCAATGAACTTTCAATGAAAGCTAAACGAGTATTATTTTCTTTACTTTCTTCTTTGTATGATTATGGACAACTGCCTTCAAATGTATTTTTTAAATTATTTGATACCAAAATATTACCGATCCTTCTGTATGGATCCGAATTATGGGGTTTTAAACCCCGTGAAAATTGTGAGCTTATTCATCGTTTAGCTTGTAAACAATTTTATGCGTAAATATAATGTAGTATTAGGCGACTGTGGTCGTTATCCAATTTATGTAGAATCTGCCATGTGTTGCATAAAGTACTGGTTCAAATTATTGAAATTACCTAATGACAGATATTTAAAAATTTGTTATAGAATGCTTTCAAGTACAACATGTGCTAAATATTTTAATTGGGCAAATGAAATTGAACATCTTTTATGTAGTAATGGGTTTGGGAACGTTTGGTTGAACCAAGGAGTTCAAAATGAAAGATTGTTTCTCCATTTATTTTGTCAAAGACTTAAGGACAACTATTTGCAAGGATGGTATAGCAAGTTCGATTCTAGTGATTGTCTCTCATTGTATAATCGTATTAAAAACAATTATGACCAAGAAACTTATATATCTATTTTAAATATCAGGAAAGTCAGACATTACTACGCTCAATTACGTTCAGGGCTTTCACATTTAGAAGTGACTAAAAAGTCATATAGCAAAATTAACACGAATGATTGGAATTGTAAAGTATGCTCCTTAGGATTATTTGAAAATGAATTTCACTTTCTACTAGTCTGTCCTGTATATGCAGATTTAAGAGCAAACTATATTGCTAAGAAATATTATACTTGTGCAACAGAGCACAAATTGGATATATTATTATCGTGTAAAAATGAAAATATTATAAAAAGTCTTGCCAATTATGTTTGTCATGCAACTTTTCGAAAAAAGATGATTATGCAGTTTTGATTTAGATACGTCTATATTTTATCTTCAACAATGTAAATTGTGTGAATTGTTATAATGTATTGATGAGTGTATCCACATAACTTTGTATCTTTTTAATGTTACAATTGTATATGTTATGGGCTGGTGGCCTAAATCAATAAATTCTGTTCTGTTCTGTTCGAGTAAGAAGATATATCAAAGAAACGTCGTGTGTTACAAGCCTATAGTTGCGATTGCTTATTAGGTCAGGCAGGTCAAAGCCGCTGCTATTGAAAATAGAAAAAAATTGTTTCCGTTAAATAACTAGAGTTTGAAATGAGATATTTCAAGCTTAATACCTATAAAAAGTCTGAAGAAAGTGTGATCCACTGGAAGCATTAATCACAACAAAATTACGTGAATTGCAGACTCGATTTGATCGAGTCAGTAAATGAGGTTTAGTGAATAAGTGCAACAACATCCTTCAGGCCCCCTATCATTTATTTGAGCGGTAATCAATTTTCAACACAAAGTGTCTGAATAATTGATCCCGAAGGACGAGAAAAATACAACAACACTAAAGTGAACACAGACTGCATGTGTAAAGACCTCGCTTAAGATTGGTTTTTTGGGTCACCGTATGATCAAGGTTAATGTCTCTGTTACTAAAACAGTTAATCGGTTAACGGTCAATAACTTTGGCATTTAATCTTTCAATGAACCTTGTCTTACAGCAAGCTCATGTTAAGACCTCACTTTGATTTGGATCTTCTTGGATCAAGGCCAAAGTAAGTTAAATTTTAAATAAAAAATTGGTTTCCGGGCAATAACCAGGTAAGGAATTAAATATTTAAAGATTTCACTTGTTTTCATTTTTAATGAGAGCTACGTAAGGTCAAGATCAATGTCACTGTAACTCAAAACAGACAATTTTTAATAAAGGCTTAAGGATTGAGTTAATTTTGTGTTTACAAGCTTATAGACGCCGTCCGGATTAAAGACACTAAAATTTTCAGTTTTCCATTTGCTGCAGTAACAAAAAGGTTGCTTATTTCTTATGTTTCTTTATGTTTTATCAATTATATTTCACGTAGTAACACATTACGCGGCTTGTGTTTGGAATGAAATTAACAAAACTGTTAACAATTATTATACTAGTGATTATTTAAAAACTAGTTTCGTAGCATAACTATATTTCTTGTTGTAATGAATATAAACATAATGTAAAAACATTATCGTTGATGTTTAAAGAATACGATGCTATATAATTATGTTTACATTAGTCTTTTTACTTGACTTAATCTAAGTGTCATCTGTTGTCTCATATATTGTAATGAATACTTCATATTTAATGTTTTCTTTTAAAACTTGTAGAGAAAAGTGCTTGCAAATTAAAATGTTTATAACAAGAACTGTCCAATTTTGAAATATATCAAGCTTCTTTGGCTTTTTAGGCGTTGAACCAGAAACAAAATGTATTGGGCTATCTAACTGTCATTTATAATCAGTAAGGATAGAAAAACATCTACTGGTTTGGGAAAAGTATTTTAGATAACGATGTTAAACGTGTGACGAATAACACTTTGGACGACAGAAAATAGATTTTTTAAATCTGAGCATATCTGTGCTGAAGTGAATTTTAATTATCAAAACATACCTGTGCTTGGGTATTTGAAGATGTCGCCGCTAAAACGTTTTAGTTTGTTTGTTTCTTCAGTGAATAAACAATTCAAAGACTGAGTAGAATCTCTGCACGAAGAATGTTCTTGTGGAGTCATCTGATCATTTTGTGATCCGTTTCCGGCATATTGTCCCACAGGTTCTTTCATAAAAACAAAATTTAACAGTTTACTAATTGTATATTTCTTAAGATAAATTTTCTGTTGTTGAGAGGATTTAGCTCCCCTGATCATAAGAACAGACCAATACCATTTTACAGCCTTTGTGTGGGACTAGGTAAAGATAATTCATGTTATAGTGTGGCAAAATATATTTAATATTTTTTTTAAAGAAAACCAAACTTAAAGATGTTATACAAAGCAATAGCGAACAATGGACAAGAAACATAAACGTTTAAACAAATAGATTTATTTAAGCTTGTATAAGGAAATTCGTTTCTATTTGGCTAACCTGTCCATTTTGAGTTTGCACTAACCACTTCCGTGTATGAACATTTTATGTCAAACTGGGTCACACATTTTTTCCCTTTTGGAGTTTGTTTTTTAAAAAATTCAATGTTGTTTATTTTATAGAAAAAAATTTACTAAAATTTATTTATATAGTTACATGAAGAATAAAATGTAATCCAGAAAGGTAATTACTTGTAACATGTTTTTGATCACAAAATACCTGCAATTTCAATAATTGATTCTCAAATATGAAAAGAAGGACTGCAAGAAGTGTCATTGCACATAATTAAACCTCCTTTAATGTATTGCAAACAATTAGACGATAATTTATCATCCTCCATGGATAAATGAAATGTTTCCCTCAAATATACATTAACATAATGTTTATTTTCATGTTTTATCAATCTACATTGTAAGAATCACGTTATCATACTATTTGACCAACATGGTCGGCAGAAATTAGTTATATAAAATTGTTTGATAAAAAATCTGACATATACTTATTTACTTAATTGTGGGTTCGAAATTTGCTTGATTTACCAAAAATAAACTGTTCTTAATAGTTGCGATACAAAGTAAATTGTAATAAGTTTTGTATTACTCAAAGACAGTACAAACAAGAGAACATTATGTGGGAAACAAACATTGAACTCAGTACATGCAGTACAGAAATTGATTTGTTACTATGTCGGCGTAAGTATTTCATGATTCTCATATATCTCTATGATAAATACAAGATGTAAATGGTTATAATGTAGGAATGTGCGGGCAGCTAAGTTTGTAATGTACACGGTCATTTTTTTTGCACAAAGTAAAGGTATCTTAATGATTTTAAAACCTACCGTAATCATCCTGTTCATCTTCATCTACAACTTCTGCTTGTCTTGTATCAATGCTCTGACGAGGTAACTCAAAAACACCACGAGGTTTTAATTCACGTGGCCATACTACAAATGTTAAAATATAGATTCTTTTTAATGTTTTAAGAAAAATTCTGAATGATATGGGAATATGCAGTTATTCATCATCCAACAAATTAATAGTTTGTGTTTCTTTAATCACCATATACACCAAACTAAACTAATAAACTTTCACTAGATTTATTTTCATTACCAGTGAATAATTACATGTAAATTGCTTTTTATCTATACCAAATAATTATCATGATAAATGTTGTTATTTTACAGGAAAAGTAAATACAAAGAGAAATGGATGATATAAAGCACTTAATTGTTCGGGTTACAAGAAAGCAATATTTTTGTATCTTATTAATTGCTTTTACCTAAACCATTTATCCAGTAATTTTCATATTATCAATTATTTTAATATTTGGCAAAATCATCTTAGCAACTCTAAGTATGTGTCTACGAAACAAACAACTTTTGGTTGTCTCATTCTTTTTGGTTAGATATAGGACTATACATGGTTTTAACAAAAATACTGATAGGCATTTTAAATATACAAAGTCACAAGAAAATCGGGGTCAGCGATCAGTCTAGCCGCACGATTTCCAACAAAACACATTTTTTGTACCTGGGAATGTATGACTGATAAAATACGAGCCTTAATACATGCTTTGCATTTATCTATTTCGTTTTTTTGTTCTTAATAATTTTGATACACAGTACATTATATAATTAAGTTTTGTAGTACTCAAAGACAGTAAAAACGAGAGAACATTATGTGGGTAACAAAGATTGAACTTAGTACAGAAATTGATTTGTAACTATGTCGGCGTAAGTATTTCATGATTTTCATATATCTCTATGATAAAGACGTAAATGATAATAATGTAGGAAATAACGGGCAACTAAGTTTGTAATGTGCACGGTCAAATTTTTTCACAAAGAAAAGGTATCGTAATGATCTTAAAACCTACGGTAATCATCCTGTTCATCTTCATCTACAACTTCTGCTTGTCTTATATCATTGCTCTGACGAGGTAACTCAAAAACACCACGAGGTTTGAATTCACGTGGCAATACTACAAATATTAAAATAAAGATTCTTTTTAATATTTTAAGAATAATTCTGAATGAAATAGGGATATGCAGCTATCCATCATCCAACAAATTAACATTTTTGTTTCTTTAATCACCATATACACCAAACTAAATTAATAAACCCTCACTACATATTTTGAACATTATGGTTACACTATATGAAGCAGAACTAGTGAGTGATATATATGTGAAATTGCTTAATCTATATCCAATAAATTATGATAAAGTTTGTTATTTTACAAGAAAAGTTAATACAAAAAGAAATGGATCAAATAAAGCACTTAACGTGCTGAATTTGTTCGGGTTACAAGAAAGCAACATTTTTGTTATCTTATTAAGTTCTTTCACCTAAACTATTTATCCAGTTATTTTGTTACCAATAATTATTTTTTATATTTGGCAAAATTAACAACTCTTAGTATGTTACTAGGTAACAAAATAACTTTGGGTTGTCTCGTTAGATATAGGACTATACATGGATGTAACAATAATACCGATAAGCCACATATTCTAGGCATTTTAAATATACGCAGTCACAAGACAGTCGGGGTCAGCCATCAACCTTAGCCGCACGATTTCCAACAAACCGCATTGTTTGAACCTGAGAATGTTTGTACTGCTAAAATACGATTCTTACTACAAGCTTTGCATTTATCTATTTCGTATGGTAATTGGCCAACGCGTTTTGATGCGACGTACCTCACTAAGTCTCGTACCACATGTTATATACGTGTTTGTTGATAAGTTGCGACCAGTTATGATCTCATTATTTGTTTATTTTATAAAATAAGTTTGCTTATCTTTGTTTATATATATAAATTATACAGGTCAAAAATTCATGAGATTGACTATAACGAGTAACTTGGTACGATTATGATGATAAGGGAAAGGAGGAGAGTGTTTTTTGTTATCAGTTTTTATGATATTATGATGAATTGGATTGTTAAATGATGATGATGACAATGCTGATGATGACGATGATGAAGAAAATGATGATTAAGATGATGATGCTGTTGTTGCTGCTGCTGCTGCTGCTGATGATGATGACGATGCTGCTGCTGCAGAAAAGTAATATCTTGGTACATGTTTTTGATCACAAAATACCTGCAATTTCAATAATTGATTTTAAATATGAAAAGAAGAACTACAAGTAGTGCAATTGAACATTTTTAAACATTCTTTTATGTAATGCAAACAATGAGACGATAATTTACCATCCTCCATGAAGAAATGAAATGTTTCCCTTAAAAATACCCTTAAACACATATTAACATCCTGTTTATTTTAATGTTTTATCAATCTACATTGTAATAAACACGTGTTCAAACTATTTGACCAGCATGGTCGGCAAAAATTAGGTACATAAAATTGTTGATAAAATATCTGACATACAGATATAAACTTATTTCTGGGTTCGAAATTTGCTTGATTTTACAAAAGTAGTTTGTTCTTAATAATTCTGATACACAGTACACTATAGATAAGTTTTGTATTACTCAAAGACAGTACAACAAGAGAACATTATGTGGGTAACAAACATTGAACAAAGTACATAATGGATTTGAAACTATGTCGGCGTAAGTATTTCATAATTCTCGTATATCTCTATAATCAAGACGTAAATGATAATAATGTAGGAATGTGCGGGTAGCTAAGTTTGTAATGTACACGGTCAAAGTTTTGCACAAAGTAAAGGTGTCTGAATAATTTTTAAACCTACGGTAATCATCCTGTTCATCTTCATCTGCCACTTCTGCTTGTCTTGTATCAATGCTCTGACGAGGTAACTCAAAAACAGCACGAGGTTTTAATTCACGTGACGATACTACAAATGTTGGAATATAGATTTATTTTAAGAAATTTTCTAAATGATATGGGGATAGGCAGTTATCCATCATCCAATAAATTAATATTTTGTGTTTCTTTCATCTCCATATACACCAAACTAAACTAATAAACCCTCACTACATATTTTGAACATTTCGGTTACACTTTTTAAAGCGGAACTATTGAATAATTTAATGTGAAATTGCTTTATCTATTCACAATAAATTATGATTAAGTATGTTAATTTACAAGAAAAGTTAATACAAAAAGAAATGGATCAAATAAAGCACTTAATGTGCTTAATTTGTTCGGGTTACAAGAAAGCAATATTTTTGTTATCTTATTTAGATTTTATACCTAAACCATTTATCCAGTTATTTTGTTACCAACAATTATTTTTTATATTTGGCAAAAGCATCTTAACAACTCCAAGTATGTTACTAGGAAACAAAATAACTTTGGGTCGTCTCATTCTTTTATTAGATATAGGACTATACATGGATGTTACAATAATACCGATAGGCCACATATTCTTGGCATTTTAAATATACGCAGTCACAAGACAATCGGGGTCAGCCATAAGCCTTGCCGCACGATTTCCAACAAACCACATTTTTTTTGTACCTGAGAATGTTTGTACTTCCAAAAAACGACTCTCACTACAAGCTTCTACTGGTCTTTTTCGTATGATAATTGGCCAACGCGTTTTGATGCGACGTACCTCACTAAGTCTTGTATCACATGTTATATATGGATGTGTGTAGTTGCGACCAGTTATGAACTCATTATTTGTTCATTTTATAAAATAATATAAATATATTATTAGTTTTAAAGATTTCTTATAGGTTTTATGGCCCTATATAAACGGTTGTTTGCAAATATAACCCGAGCCATTAGGCGTGTGTTATATTGCAAACAACCGTTTATATACGGCCATATAACCTGTCAGAAATATTTATAACGAATTTATTATACAGCAAGCATCATTTTAAGAGGAATAAAGCGAAATTTCTTTATAAATCAAAAGCAGCCGTGTATTTAAAACTATATAAACGTCACGCTATATATATATACATATATATATATATATATATATATATATATTAATCGGTGAGTTTATTTCTGTTCTCTAAGAACTGTGACAAATTAATGTGCCTGCTAATATATAGAGACAGAATACTGTCGGCTTTTATTTATTCGAGTAATAACTATGATCATACATATTCCAATACCTTTAGGAGACTTTGTCACCATTACAAAGAAATCATCAATTTTTTTCTCTTCCTCCAAAAGTTGCCCAACCATTTGCCCTGCTTGACACTTGTACCTACCGAGATAATTTATGATATCGGATATATCATGTCAATATAGAGTATGTAATGGTATATATTCCTAAATTACAGGATATAGGTATCCAAGTAAAGGGGCATGGACGGTAACATGCACTTTTAGTGCCGTAAGTGAACAGGCTCAATTAAACCGAGCCTGTAGCATTCTCATGTTTTCTGTATTAGGTTTTCTTGAGGTATTTTATTTCACTATATTTTTCCGTCACTTTTTACAATTTCCTTTACAGATGTGATAGTTTCTCCTGTGTAAACAGTAATAAATATCAAATGTATTTAACAATTATGGTGAGAGTGTTTACTATGTCGAAATATATTGTAACTTTCAATGACATTTTCTCTTCGGGGAGTCGTCGACGAATCTTAAGAAAATGTTAGATGATAGATTGTTAGATAGATTTACGAACTTTCCGAGTATATATGAAATTTTTACAACATCATGTAAAATGCTTCTAAAACAACATGACAAATAAAAGAATATTTAACCTCAAACTATGGCGTTCGGTAATGACATTTGTTTTTTAAAATTTATAACACATTATCTGATTGGCATGACGCAATCATTTGATTCAACTCAATCCTTTGAATAAAGAAGCATAAATTAACCATGTTCATAAGTGTAAAAGTACGGAATATTATATTTGAATTGGTATAGAGCTTTACATTTTTAAGCTCTGTATCAAAGTTGGGATTTTGAGACCGGTTACGTTAAGCAAGGTATACCTGTATATAAAAGTAAGCTACCTGCGTTTTACAGTCAGATATAATACTATAATATTAAAAATAAAGAGGTTTCTATATATAAAGCATATATTTACCTTTCAAAAAAATTAGATTTTTCAATTTCTTCTAGCTCAATTTCAATTTGCCGTAAATTATCTTGTGATTTTTTCATAGCTATAAACAATGCCACGCTTTGTCCACTCTCTTTTTTTGCATTGATTACCTGGCGAATTCCTGCAGTTTTATTCTTATTCTTACACAATTGCTTATTCACACCATGTAATCTTTTCTTTGATTGTTCGTACTGTAATTTATTACTCTCATATAAATTCTTGTGATGTTTTTCAATCAGGTCAATAAAGTCCTGTTTATGCTTCTTAATCAAAGATTCTGCTTCTTTTTTCAATTGATCCGTCATTAAATTTAGTTCGTTAATCTCTGCCAATGTTTCATTTCCACGTGTGTAAACTGTATTAAGTTTGTCTTCATATTCTAAAAACTCCTTAGTTTCAGCGCAGTCAGTAGAAGCTTCTTCGATTGTTTGTATCTTCGCATGATCGCCACTTTTATGCTCTGTAGCTTGGCAAATTACACAGAAAAGTTTGTTACAATCCACACAAAATAAGTCTAGAGTATACTTTGGATGTTTGTCACATTTTGGAGAAAATATTTCCTTTTTTACTTTTCTGCCTTTCTTTTCCATCTTTATTTAACAAAAACACGATATATTGAAAACTCATCTGTTTGATATAAAACCAACAATCAGCTTTTTTTCTTCATGCTTTAACTATTGTTTTAATCCACTGTTAACGAAAAGTTAAGTAAATATTTTGAAGTATCACTTACGAATAACTCCCCGTTTAACGTATGAATGATATTCTTCTACAGACTCGTATAAAACATATGCGTGTCGCCGTTTATAAGTCAAATAGTAAAACAGTGAGTGGATAAAATTTCGGTTATACAAGAAGGAAGTTACAACTATTTTACCTTAAATTTAATATGACAAAAAGATATTTCTATATTTTTTGGATGAAATGATATATCTATATGTAAACGTTTATATTTAATGCTAACTGGTTCAATACTGCTTTTTAAGTAACAAAGTAATTCACTGTCACAGTAATAATGCTGTGTTAAACCTTTAGTTCCTCTGAGTGTTGATTTTCATGATACTGTAAACCTTACCTTCATTAAAATGGTTAAAAAGAGTACCGCATTGATGACTATAAATTTGAATGTTTGTTTTCGCATCGTCCGACGTTTTACGTCTGCCGTTGATATTATCACACGTAAAAAACAGATTTATTTTCAATGTTTCAAAAGTTTACTTAAGTAATGTTTTGAGAGATTCCCCTTACATGAATCCGTGATGACTAATTCGTTACAACTCGTCGAGGTATCATTAAAGCATGCATCCAGTATTTCATATTTTGATGGGGTGTACAATCACATGTCTTTTGTAATAAGGCGACATTACCGGCTTATTGTCATTCGGTGGCTTACTTTTCTTACATCTGTCACTTTGATTAATCAAATGCTAACATTGGGCGGCATATGAGAGCAGCAGAGATATGGAGGACTGTAGGGATGGTGCAGCAGGGGGCTACCATCCGTCAGGTTGATGCGGCGCTTGGTGCACACCACAAAATAATCACCATTTCCGGGAAGAGATGCCGGCTACATGGTACACCCGCCAGGGTGCATGCTGGAGGTCGGCAATGTCTTACAACACCAGCTCAGGATCAATTTTTGGTAGTCCTACGGGCATGTCGTGCATAGTTTTCGATAGCAACTTCTCTTCGAAATGACATTGTTAGTGTTGCAGGGGCCGTGATTCTACGCAGACGGTACGAAGAAGGCTGCGTAAAGGCAATTTTCGGTCGTGAAGACCTTGCATACGTATCCCCTTGACGCATCGACATCTCAAGACCCGTTTGGAATGGACCATGGACCTTGCAACAGTTGAGACACGTTCTGTTCAATGATGAGTCCAGGTTCTGCCTAGGCTTCACAGGCGTACTACAGTCTTGAAAAGACGATGTGGACGGTTTAAGGCTGAAAATAATATTGCTGAGCATGACCGCTACGGAAGTGGGTCAGATATGGTGTGGGAAGGCATCAGCTGGAATAGACGAACCGACCTGGTTGTGTTAAATAGAGGTATATTGACAGGTCAGCTATACATAGACGGCATCTTAGACAACACGGTTAGGTTATATGCTGGAGCAAGCAGCGATCATTTCATTCTAATGGACAATAATGCTTGCTCCAATAGGGCCTGGGTGGGTGAGTTCACCTGAATGAAATCCAATAGAACACATGTGGAATGAGCTGCAGGCTTAAATTTTAGCTCGTCAGCTGCAACCCAGAACAATCCAGGAGCTTAGAGCTAGAGTACTCCAAGAATGGATCAGAAACCTAAAAGTATGAGAAGGCGTTGCCAAGCTGACATTAATAGTCACGGGTCACACACACACTGTATTACGTCTAAAACTTCAAGCGAGAAAAACAATTAAAAAAATGGAAAACACGCTGCATGTTCTGAAATCAGAGAAGTCAGAGAAAAAACTCATTATTAGGGTGAAATTTGTCCTTCAGTTTCATTGATGTAACAGTAAATCAGCATTTCAAACCTTTTGCACGGCGTTAATAAAATTTTCCAAAAAAATATTCACACACAAACATGGTTCTTTAATTGTTTTGTCAAAAAGTTGTGATTTAAATTCTTTCATGTTTTATTACGAAATAAATAAATGTCTTATTCTTATATAATTGATTTCTATTTAAATTTGTATCCTGAAGTAATAGTTAATCCGATAGGCCTCGATACGAAATGAAAATTTATGTACGCCATGAATCACAGTCAATTTGGCAATGTACCAAAAAAAAAGAAAGAGTACTAGATTGTACAAATACATATTATATGCTGTGTTCTCACCGTCGATCAGCTCAAATCGATCAAACACGATCAAGCAATCGGGTACCGGTCTAGCTTAGTATGCATGCGTAATCGGGGGTGGTCGGAGCGGTCTACCTTGGTCGGCATAGCTCGAGCTTCCTACCCGAATTTGTTTGACATGTCAAAAAAATCGAGTAGCGATTGAGTAGATAAGCGGTCGAGAAGAGATCGTATAGTGATCGAGTAGACGGTCTAGCTGATCGAGAATAAATCGTGTAACGATCTAGTTTGGTCGGGTATACATCTCTAACCCGATCTGTACACGATCATCTCGATTTCTACTCGATCTGGTCGGGTGGAAATCTGGCAACGATCGAGCAGAGGTCCAGTAAGTCTAGTTGAGATCGTGTATGACTGGCGTATAGGTCTGGGTGATCGAATAGAAGTCGGGCTATTGGTCGGGTTGTTGTCGAGAAGAAGTCGTAAAACATCGTGTAGGGTCGACTTGAGGTCGTGTAGTAGTCGTGAATGTGCATTTAATCAAGCTTTTAATCCAGCTTGGTCGGGCTTCATCAGGGAAATAATGTGATCGGGACGATCGAGTTGATCTGATCGGTGGTGAGAACATAGCATAAGTGACAGAAAACCAATATGTGTGTGTCTATGTTGCTACACAACTTGGAAATAGGATGATCCCTCAGAAGCATGAATAACAACAAAATTACATGACAATTACAGACACGCCTTGATTGAGTCTGTTTACATGAGAAATAATGAAGTGCCACATCCCTTATACCCCTCGCACCGCCTTAAGCGGTACTCAATTATTTTACACAAGAGGAACTCAAGTGTCAACACTTAAAGTGCTGAATTCAATGTTCGCTAAAGACTGCAACATGCGTGCAAATTGTATACACTTAATTCAAACATATTTTACTTTAAGAAAAAGTCCAATAAGTTACAATAACTACAATATTTACTTCCCCTGTGTGAAAATGGAAAGTTAAAAGGAATAAAAGTAGTTTTCAAAAGAAAGTTAATAAAAGAGGAAAATACTTAAATTCAAAGAACATGTGTGGTTAGATCATGTGGATTATGTGGATTAAAAAAGTGTAACCCTTGTGTGTTGTTATTATTACATTGATGATATCCATATATTTGAATTCAATCATTCTCTATCTCATATTTTATCAATATTATAGTTTGTAAAACACCAACTACTAAACCTAAAGCGTAAATATGATTTCAAACTATCAGGACTCTTTCCGTATAGTTAAAAAATTCTACAATTTGTATCAGTATTTCATACGGAGAGAGTTCAATATATTTGTAAACTAATGGCCTCATTTTTTTTCATTTCAGAAGCAATTTTAATTAAAATTGTATCCTTAAATAGCGTTGTTATTCCCTTTCAAAAGACTGACAGCAATTTTAACAACCATGGTAACGCGTAAGCGGCGCCCCAGTCCAAATTTTCGTAATGAACTTGTATTAAGCGTGTTAACAATACTACTTTCTTAATAAGATAAAGACTCAATGGATGAATGAATGAAAGATTTTGTAAGATTTTTATGTTTGCTGTTCGATAATACAAACGACCATTGGTGGCATTTCAATATCTTGAATTCCTAGCTACATCTTATTAATTCCCAAACTCTCGATTTATATAGAATTCACGGTTCTACGATTTCAAGTTATGAGTTTACACTTTAGCTTCACGAATTCAAATTTTAACTTCATGAATTCACGATTGCATCTTCATGAATTTCATGACTTCAAATTCACGTCTTCGCGATTTCAACTACACGATTTCACTATTTAAATTCACGAATTCAAATTTATGAATTTATTTTTTTCAAAATTCATGATTTAAACTTCGTAAATGCACGATAAAAACATGAATTCACGAAGTCCAACATGAATTCATGAAGTTGAATTCGCTTCAGTTTATATTTCAATGTTTGTATTGAGCTTAGTATTTGACAATCTGAAGTCATTTATCATTGATGTGTTCATGTCAATTTTTATCTATGTAAGTCCAAGGTGATTATGAGTTTTTATTTTTATTTTTTTGTAAATAAGTTAGTATTTAGGATATAGAAAGACGCCGCTGTTCATCGTGTAAGAAAAAACATTTTCTTTTAGCTTTCTATTACTTATTTTATCCTGTTTGCTAGCATTGTCAGTAACATGCTGATATACGTGTTACAAGTGGAAGGTTTAAAGTCGGTAAAAGGCTGAACGCTGTAGAATTAAAAAAAAGTTTACAAATATTGTATTCTAGGCGCATAATCCCTCAGAATATTTTTTAATGTTTCCTTTGTTTTAAAGTGGAGATATGAATTAATCTAATATTAAACAAGACATCTAAATCATGGTTAAACTTTAAGAGCTTGTTGGAAAATTATTGGCCGAGGATAATAGAGTAAATTGTGAAACAATTTGCCATTTAAATAGCAACGTATAAACAAAGCTATATTTTAACTTCCATAAAAATATTAACAACAGAACAAAATATCGTTTAGTTAACTTGCAAATAAATCATTTTTAGAAGCTACAAAGTTTATTAACTTAAAGATATAAAGTTTTTGAGCAATAAAAACATATGTCTTTGGCATAATGGGTCTTTAATAAATTTTCGTGAGATGCAGTTAAAAATAAATCCTTCCAAAATAAGCAGTTTTCACCTTTTGAAATGTAGATCATGTGCAAGAATCTTTATTTTTATTCAGTTTCTGAAACTGCCTACGACATATTGCCAAGGATATCATCTTGTGACACGTTCATTCCCATCATTGAAACATGTAATTCAAATATCAAGATAATTTGGTCTTCCCTTACAAAGGAAACTAACATTAAAATATGATGATGCAATTAAAGATTAATGTAATATTTTATTGGAAGACATATAAATATTAAGTGGCATTCCCTGTAAAACCTGTTTTCATCCATAGGTCTTGCATAAGAGTCTAATTTAACTTCTAGCCAAATGAAAAGCCATATCTCGATTTTAATTCATTTTTTCATGAAATTTAAATTAATCTTAAACTGGGATAACATTAAATGGTAAATAACAAAATGTTAAAAAGTGTTGATTTTACAAGAAACACTATTTTATTAAATTGACGAATAACAGTACATTCAAATATAATAATAATGAAAGGATAAAAATAAGGACCAATTTAGTATAAGGATCAACATTTGGATCAACTTAGTCTGTAAAATACTTATTATATGTTGTACTATAAAAGAGGGTAAACATAAGTATTATAATGTTTAAATTATGGTTTAAAAGCATGTTAGACGCTTATTACCAAAGGCATGTAAGAATTAATGTGAACTTAATTTTTCATAATGGTAGCAAAATGACAATTTTCACCTCCATACAAAATACTGAATCATTATATCAGTACTAGTTTACAACAGAAAAAGAAGTAAACTGTGGTTCAGGTAAATTGCAAGTATGTAAATCAGTAAGAACCATATTAGAACTATAAAAATACTCATAAAATAAAAATCTTTTGAGATATAGAATAGCAGTAAAAGCATTTGGGGGCATGTTTTAATTTATAATTGATTCAATGAATTGAACAAATAAGTAAATTATAACCTGATCATTTCTTCAGTAAGAAATATACTGCTCTTGATTTTCTAGCAATAGCTCTTGAAGTCGTTAGTAAGTGTGAGGTGAGTGTGAGTGCGCGGGCGGGCGGGCTCGTGTGTGCATGCTTTTACATCCATTTTGTGGTGCAAGTAATGTAGAAATGTCATGATCGTGAGCAATTGTGAAGCTAAAATAAAACACCTTTTTATGAAAAGAATGAAATGCATGTAACATCATCAGTTACGTATTAATGGATATCACTATATGCTAGTTTTAGTCATTTGTCTTGATATTCGTTGCATTGCATTATATAATTCATTGATTTTACTGGGTTTTCATTATAATGGCAGTCACTTTTGAAGCCCTTGTGAATATTGAACATAACAAAAAATAAAATATATACTTTCATTCTATAACTATCAACTTATCAACTATCAAGTTATGAGCTTCACCTGTTATTTAGTGAGGTCTGGAACTGACTTTATTACATATATTGAGAAATTTCTTACGAATAACAAGTGTCATTCAGAAATCATTCAAAATTTGTACTTAACAATATTTAATTGTGAATTGGATAAACAGTATTGTATAGTATTTTTTAAAATGTTTACGCTATATAATGTTCTAGTGAAAACAGGAGAACATACTATCTGTGTAACTCTTATATGATTCATGGTTATGAAGTGATTTGAATAATACAATAAGATATATTTCGTTATGATGTGATATAATTAGTCTTGTTTCGTGTATATACATTTTGTCTTATTCTTTAATTAACAATTTGGCTTGATTTGATATTGATGAAATATAAGTATCGCTCTCTGTAAGTTACATATCTATTTTTCATTTGAAGAACTTTTTTCTAACGTAGCACGGCGACGAAGTAATGCATTCTCCAATTCATTTGTAAGGCCACCACCTGGATTTATATCTTCAGCTTTCCTTACGTAATTTTCAAGGGATATACCCACGTCTCCCGCTTACTTCAGCAAGGAACCAATCTGAACTACATTTTTCCAAGACCGTCACTACATTTCCTTCCTTGATTTCGATTTCATCCGGCATTGTTGGTTTGTAATCCCACATAGCTATAAATTTTTCTAAACATAAAGAATAAATATAATGAATTCTTTACTGGTTAAATGTGCCGTTTCAGTTGTGAATTTACTACAGAGATAGCTCAGATAGTTTTCAAGTGTACAATATCGCTCAGTTAAAGAAATTAACAAGATACATTCTATTTCCATTTCAGCGCAAAAGAAAGAAAGTTGTAAATATGCAGAATCTTTAAGTCTTAATAATTTGTTCATAAAATCATTTTTTTTTCATACAATTAATTATCAAAACATTTATCTCAAGCCACAAATACAAATACATTCGATGATATCTGTCAGGAAAGAATACTTTAAGTTTTCCTCATAATCGATTTCAAATAAACACAAATGTATTCTTGCTTCAGTTGGATTTACCTGGCTTTTGTTGAGGTACCGATATCATATCTTGACATGATTGGACATGAAATATATGATCCTGATGTGCTGACTCCTCTCGTTCTGTACTTAAAACTGGAGACCCTATACATTAAAACATCACTTGTTTCTTTACATTCAGCCGTGTCAATAAGTGAAAATATTTGCAAAAAGTGGATTAAGAACAGTTTATTTAAATGTTTCAATTATTAAGTAACCATCAGTCTAGAGTCTGGTTTGGGCTCCCGTGACCGAGTGATTAAGATCATTGGCTTCAAACCACTTGCCCCTAACTGCTCACTTTCTCATTCATCTGAAGAAGCTATCCAGCTACCATACGGACGTTTTTTGTTTTACTCAGTTGCCAGATGTGTGCACATGAAAAGCTCTGGAATCGCTCTGAAACCATTACAGTTTTTTGTGTGATTTAACTCAGAACACAGTATACCCTTGTCAGACCGCATGGTTTTGGAGTTTGAGATGATTGTAACTTTTATTAAATACTTTGATAAGCAGGATAAGGGGTTAAATAATTTTCAGTTCGAAATACTGATATACTTGTATTTAACCAGATGTTTCAAAACTGAAATCCTAGAAATGATATTGTTTTAAGGCATACACGCGCCGCGGATGAACAGACGGACGTCAAAACAAGATGGTATCCGGTCATGAACTTGAGGTTTTATTGATTTTTTTAATTAAACTTGATATAGAGAAACTTTAAGTAAAGGAATCGCTTGGGATTTCAGGTCAAGGTCAAAGTACCTTCACTTAAGGTATTAGCACCCTAATGCATTCCCTCCGCTTTGAAGAGTATTTAAATAGGCTAGAACTACTGTTAACTACATTGAAAATGAGGGCCATGGGTTCAATCCCCAGAAGGGTCAACTTTTTTTTTCTTTTTTTCTTTTAACATTATTTATGTATCTCTCATGTCCCATTTGGAAAGAAAAAAGTGTTTAATTTTGATTTTTGAATCTATATAGGTATTTATTGTCTAAATTATGCTAAACATAGTAATGAATATGGTACCTGATATTTTCAAAGTGTAATATAATCAAAACTAGACGGTAAAAGTATTTCATATTTAACAAGATCAACCAATATACTTTTTTAAAAATTTAGGGAACTTTGAAAACAGGCACTAATTTGGGTAAATTTTAAGATTTTTTTCAAATTTGGCTACCTAAGGAGAAAAATGGTCAGTCACGTGGTAAAAATGGGTGGGGTAGGGAAACATTTTTATACAGATTTCATAAATTTTAAGTAGAAACCATAATTTTGCTTATTTGGATTGTTAGCTGAATGGCATTATTTGTTTCTCTCCAAAAATTAATGGGAAAACATGTTTCATTAGAATGTTATTGCAGATTATTTAACCCATTACTTCATATACACGCCTTTTAACGCCTTTTTCACCCCCCCCTTTTTGTTGTCTCAAATGGTGAAAAAATGCCTTATTTAGGCCCCCAACACTTGTTTTTGTTTGAGAAATGTTGTTAAAAAAGTGACCACTTTTTCGGCGCGGCCCCCCAACCAAAAGATACATCAGGGGGTTGCCAGAAGGGGGATGTGCCCCCTTCTGTTTGGGGGGTTTGAAGTGGGGCGGAGTCCCCCTCATCGCCAAGAAAATTTTGGACTTGTGAGAGGCTATAAATGACCTCAGATTGATCATAAGGTAACGTGTAACCAACGCTGAAAAGCATTTGACTCTATCTCAATCCATTGAGAAGTTGCAGCACTTTGAAATCAATTATGATGGAAAAAATCAACGCAAAATAGTGATTTTTGGCAATTTTGAGATGTCCCCTCGTTGCCATGGTAACAGAAAATTTAAGCCTGAGCATGTTGTTGCAAGGGCATTGGTCCAGTCAACATTTGTGCCAAGTTTGATTAGTGTTGAAGCAGTTTTTATAGTATTATAGCAATTTGAACTTGTAACGAGAGACTTTTCAATGAAAACAGCCATTTTTCACAAAATGCTCATGAAGTAATGGGTTAATGAAAAAAATAAAAAAAATTACAAAACAACAAATTTTCTTCAAATTTATATGACAGGCCATGTTTAAACATGGAAAAACGCGATTTAGGGTAATTTCAAGTATTTTCATCATTTTCTGTTAACCCATTACTTCATATACACGCCTTTTAACGCCTTTTTCACCCCCCCCCCTTTTTGTTGTCTCAAATGGTGAAAAAATGCCTTATTTAGGCCCCCAACACTTGTTTTTGTTTGAGAAATGTTGTTAAAAAAAGTGACCACTTTTTCGGCGCGGCCCCCCCAACCAAAAGATACATCAGGGGGTTGCCAAAAGGGGGATGTGCCCCCTTCTGTTTGGGGGGTTTGAAGTGGGGCGGAGTCCCCCTCATCGCCAAGAAAATTTTGGACTTGTGAGAGGCTATAAATGACCTCAGATTGATCATAAGGTAACGTGTAACCAACGCTGAAAAGCATTTGACTCTATCTCAATCCATTGAGAAGTTGCAGCACTTTGAAATCAATTATGATGGAAAAAATCAACGCAAAATAGTGATTTTTGGCAATTTTGAGATGTCCCCTCGTTGCCATGGTAACAGAAAATTTAAGCCTGAGCATGTTGTTGCAAGGGCATTGGTCCAGTCAACATTTGTGCCAAGTTTGATTAGTGTTGAAGCAGTTTTTATAGTATTATAGCAATTTGAACTTGTAACGAGAGACTTTTCAATGAAAACAGCCATTTTTCACAAAATGCTCATGAAGTAATGGGTTAATGAAAAAAATAAAAAAAATTTACAAAACAACAAATTTTCTTCAAATTTATATGACAGGCCATGTTTAAACATGGAAAAACGCGATTTAGGGTAATTTCAAGTATTTTCATCATTTTCTGTTAACCCATTACTTCATATACACGCCTTTTAACGCCTTTTTCAACCCCCCCTTTTTGTTGTCTCAAATGGTGAAAAAATGCCTTATTTAGGCCCCCAACACTTGTTTTTGTTTGAGAAATGTTGTTAAAAAAGTGACCACTTTTTCGGCGCGGCCCCCCAACCAAAAGATACATCAGGGGGTTACCAGAAGGGGGATGTGCCCCCTTCTGTTTGGGGGGTTTGAAGTGGGGCGGAGTCCCCCTCATCGCCAAGAAAATTTTGGACTTGTGAGAGGCTATAAATGACCTCAGATTGATCATAAGGTAACGTGTAACCAACGCTGAAAAGCATTTGACTCTATCTCAATCCATTGAGAAGTTGCAGCACTTTGAAATCAATTATGATGGAAAAAATCAACGCAAAATAGTGATTTTTGGCAATTTTGAGATGTCTCCTCGTTGCCATGGTAACAGAAAATTTAAGCCTGAGCATGTTGTTGCAAGGGCATTGGTCCAGTTAACATTTGTGCCAAGTTTGATTAGTGTTGAAGCAGTTTTTATAGTATTATAGCAATTTGAACTTGTAACGAGAGACTTTTCAATGAAAACAGCCATTTTTCACAAAATGCTCATGAAGTAATGGGTTAAAGGTTCCTACTTTCTAAAAAAGGGCCCTCATTACATCCTAGCTTGAGTTTAGAAAAGTGGCCATAACTTGATTTCCGTAGGGTAAACTTTGTTTAAATTTTGCATACAGTTGTACTTTAAGGTATACATCTGACTTATGATGTCAATTTTTTAGTTCCTGATAGTGCCCATTTGGGTCCTAATACCTTAAAGACGATTTCCGATCAACAAGTAATTAAGAAACAAGATAGGTAGTCCTCGCTTAGGATATTAGGATTGCTTTTGAACCTTCCTAGGGTCAAGATCAATGTCACTATTAATAAAAAACAGGAAATCGGCTCCCGGTTAATTACTGATTTATAAAAGAAACTATTGGAATGAAACTTGTCTATTAGCACTTACGTTATGATCCCGCCTGGGATAGCAATGAGATATATCGACGGAACATTTGATTCAAGCTAACATAAAGACATCAAATTGGTTTGCATGAGCGATTCATAATGCCATGATCACCGTTACTTTTACTTAAGATAAACGGATTTGTTTTCAGGTCAATAACTATAGTTTACTTGATATTAGCAAGCTGATATGAAAATCACGGTTGGTAATAGGTTACCCCCACCCCCCACTCTCCCCCAGGATCAAGGTCAATGTGATAGCATAATTTTCATTTTATGTACTAAAACAAAAGCATGCTTATTTGTTATGTCCATCTTTTTTATCATTTATAATACACTGGTTGCATTGCAAATTACCTGTGTATTGTATTGCAGCTAGAAAATATTCTATTATCAAACCTCTGAAAACCGGAATCCGCAGAAAAACGGAATCCTTTGAGACTAGTTTTTAGTTTTTAGTAAATTACCTATAAGTTCATTGAATTTATACTCTAAAAACCAAAACATCCTAAAGCTGAAAGCCGGTCAGTTTTCTATAGCTACTTAAGCTAAACATGCATTAAGCTAAACATGCATTAAAATCCTTGAAAATCGGGTAGCATATTAAATTTAAACTTTTTGTGTATTTCAATGCTGATAAAAAATAACCTAACAGGTTAAATGCCCTATTACCATTTGAAAATAACCTTCTTTACCTATAATTATTATAGTTATATTCTACTTAGATATTTTATAAGCAAATACAAAATGTTCTATTGTAGAAATGTGATGTTTAAATATCTAATGTTTCGAAATATTGACGAATTTGCAAAACAGTATTTTTTAAACGGTTACAATTGCAAAAAAGGATATATTAAAATATATCTAAAACAAAAGAGTAGAAAGAAGATACAAGAAGATTTAAACAAAGTAAATATTCAAACTCATCATTATAATAATAAATGTTTAATTATCTGAAAACTGGTATCTTCCGAGAACCGCACTTTTGGTCAAGTCCGGACAGCTAGCTTAATATCACATAAAACAATTTTATTCTAAAGTCAGAATAAATTAACACGATGATATTTGAGAAGAATATAATAAGGAGTGAAGGAAGTTATGAAATATTGTTAATCTTCGACAGTGATATTAAAAGGAATGTCAGTTTCTTTTGCCCTCTGCTCTTGTACTCTTATTTGTAGTCTATATATTTCTGCCCTGGTATATTTAGTGGTAGTTTTAGGTTTTCAGAGTTTTAACTATACAATGGTGATGATTAAAAACCTGGTTGCGTGTCATTGCTATGTTTCTTGTTTGATAAAAGCATAATGTTAATTACATTATGTTTGTTTGACTTGGTTTGGCGTCGCACCAACACAGTATAGATCATATGGCGACTTTCCAGCTTTACGGCGAGGGAATACCTTACATGCCCTTCCGTGCATTATTTCAGGCACGAACGGGCATTTGTATGGAACCACCGACGGATAGCTAGATAGCTCCCTTACACAATGCGGTGGGGGAGCAACAGGTTTGAAGGCATCGACCTTTATCTCTTAGCCACAGACGCCCCTTTAATACACTAAAAGTTAATTTAAAAAGGTTAATATATGTATACTGTAATCATTAGTATCGGTTATCTCATATAAGTTCAATTTAATGAATACTTCATATTTAATTTTTCTTTTAAAATATTTTAGGAGAATGGGATTTGGACTTACAACATCAATCAATTGAAAAACTTTACCTGGTGTTTGTCTTTGCTCAATGTCGCGAACATGCACCTGCAGATTGAAATACAAGCGAGTTGGACACAATTCTGTTAAAACAGTGATTCAATTTCAGATAAAATTCAACTGCAGCATGAAAACCATACGAATAATACAAACATACGTTATACTTCTGAATTTAAAGGGTAATATCGATGTCAAACATCGATGTATAAATTGATCGTACTTATTCATTTCATCTATAGTTTAGTATTATCTTGAAATGCATAAAATGTAAAAATATATCCTTCTTAATCTTCTAATTGATGTAAATGCAATACTCAGTCAACTGGACACATACATAGAAGTTATTCATATTATTAATCAAATGACCGTCTAAAATATATCAATTTCGTAGTTGCCAAATAATGCTATTTCATTGTATGGGGTCATGGATAATAGCTCCGTTATTGTTTGTATCTTGTCCTTGGCAGGATGAAAAATAAGAAGTTATGTTAATAAAAAGAAAACATACTTACGTAATGAGTGGTTATTGTATCCGTTCTTATTTGCAACATACTCCTTCGTAGCTGAATCGTATCAGGTGAACGTGTCTTCCCAATTAGAGGTGCAGCTTTATAAATATGTAATTAAAGTTTTATGCTCTTAGTGTTCAAATCAAAATAAAAAGCTTAAACTCTAACCAGGTATCAATGTTTAGATATTCATTTTCTTTAAATCGATTTCGCTACTTAATGAAAAGAAACGAATTTCAAAAGTGAAACTACCTTAGAAAACATAATAATTTAAAACATTTGAATAAGTGTACACTTAGGGACAAATAACAAAAAACCTTATCATCATTATCGTATTCATCATTCCAAGGCTAACAGATACATTTGGGACTCGGCCTGGCCGAGTGGTTCGCTTTGGACTAGTAACCTCAGAATTGCTGACAGTTTTGGTTCACATCCCGTCAGGGTCAGCCGTTAAGTCTATGCAAAAGCCTTTTCACCTATTGCTTAGAACTGGTTGGTTCCAAGAACATATTCGAAAGTGTTTGAATAAGCTAATGGCTTACAACACAATCGGGCTAAATTAAATAAGAATAAAGTAAAAGTTACCCTACAATGATCATTGTGTAAACAGAATAAAGGCAGTTGACAATATATATTAAAATGATTCTTCTAAGATGAATTGTACGTTTTAATTGTTTCTATTTCTTAAGGACAATAATTAAAGAACATTGCGACTTGCATCTGCTATTCATTGGAAAACATATCAACGTCTGTTAAGTACGTTTTCGGGAGTTTTTCTACTTATTTGAGGTCATTTATAGGGCAGATAACTTCTTCATACTTAAATTAATTCTTGTTTTTACTTCTGGATTATGTTTATCTTTTTATTGTTCGGTACAATACATAATAACATGCAATTCCTTACATCTGTTATTTTTTTCAATGAAAATAAAGGTACTTTAAATTCTTAAAAAATAGCCCATTTTTTAAGAAAAAATGCACACGTTAAAAGAAGTAGTGGAAATAAAAACTATCCACTCTTAATTTGTTCTTGAAATTTTGCATATCAACTAAAACGAAGGTAGACTTAATGAAAATAAGAAAAAAAAATGAATTTTTTCCATTCATTGTTAATTATCTGCCCTTGAATTTAACAAAAACTCCAATTCAAGGATAGATAACTCAAAAATGAGAACGGTTACCCCATTTTTCCGCTTAAAATGTTTTCTCATCATATTCTAACAACATGCCAAGTTTAAAGAAATTCTACAGAACAGTTTCAATTTTGCATATATGTTTATATGAAAACTCCCAAAAATGTCTTTAAGTCATCACCTTGATCATCATCTTCAGCCTTCTGAACGTAATTCCCAGGGAAGTATCCAGATCTCCCACCTGTTTCACCACGGAACCATTCATTACATTTTTCCCAAACCGTCACAATTTCTCCTGCCTTGATTTCCACTTCATCCGGCATCGTTGGTTCGTAATTGTACAAAGCTATATATTTTTCTTAACATAAAGAAATAACAATGAAATATAATGAATAGTTTACTGGTGCTGTTCATATTTAATTTACTACATTGATAGTTTTAATTACGTTTCGTACAATAAAATTCACCAAAAAATTCACCTGATAACAAGCAAGTAAATCCATTTATCAAAAAAGAAAGGTTTTGATATTCAGGATCTCTCAGTCTAAATAATTTGTACATTATGTTATTTAAATGAAAATAATGTATTATAAAAACATTTATCTCAAGCAACAAACACAAATATATTCGTTGATATTTTAAGTTTTTTTTTCATTATCAACCTCACAAAATATACAAATGTAGCATTGCTTTATTTGAAATTACCATGTTTTTGTTGAGGTACCGGTATCATATCTTGACCCGATTGTACATGAAATGCAGGATCTGGATGTGCTGCTTGATCTCGTTCTGTACATAGAATTGGAGATCCTGTACATTAAAAAACATCATTTATTTCTTTACATTTAGCCTGGTGAACATGTGTAAGAGATCAGCAAAACTTTGGATTAAAAACAGTATATTTAGGTGTTAAAATGTTATAAAAAGTACGTACATTTAAGTGTTTAAATGTTTCAATCATTAAACTACCAATGGTCTAGAGCATAGTCGGGGTTCCCGTGACCGAGTGGTTGAGGTCATTGTCGTCAAACCACTTGCCCTTACTGCTGTAAACTCATTCATGCGAGGAAAATATCCAGCTAGCCTACGGGCGTTGGTTGTTCTATTCAGATACCGGATGTATCTGAAATATTGCAAGGAAGGCCACCTGAGGTCTTACTCTATTAAAGGTGCACACGATCTCGCTCGTAATTGCTTTTGGACCCACTACGGTTAATGTTTGGTATTGGAAAACGATATCCGCTCAATAAATACAGACAGGAATGAGAAATTTCAAACAAATGCAAAGACGTTGCTTGGGATTGCTATTTTGTCATGTAGGGTCTTGGTTGCTATAAATAAATAGAGAAAATATTGTTTCCGGTTAATTACTAGAGTTTTCCATGAGCTATTTCAATGAAATGTGTTTCCTAGCAGCCATATGTGTAGTCTTCGCTTGGGATAGCTTTTGAACATCATTATGGTCAAAGTAATGTCATTGTTACTAAAAACAAAAAAATATAAATGTAAATTCGGTAATATCAAATAATGCCTTTATGAACTTACACTAATTTGAGCATCAGATTTATGATATTTAACCATAAAAGTGAGTTCCAGAATCTTTACAGATATACTATGCTCATCTTTGGGTAATTTATTTTAATTGTACAATGTAGTGGAATCACGTACATTCTTCCTGAATATTTTTGAATATGAATAAGTTAGTATATAATCTATGTTTGGGAAGCTGTATTCCTGAACACTGGTCAAATGAATTGGTCCAATCTTATAAGAACTGCCAGATTTTAAATGACACTATGTAATAACACTTTGTTCACCTGTAGTGAGCACAGTTTTATACGTTACATATTTTCTTTGTGTGTATTCAAATTTTACATTTCAATATAGACTGTATAGTAAATATCTTTTTTTCAAATATCAAATTTGAGCATAACATATCTTAGATGTCAACTTTTTGTGTATCTTAATGTGGATTAAAATATAATCACAACAGAGGAAATGTCCAATGACCAGTTAAACAAGTTACCTTCTTTATCTATGCAGGTGTGGAAAACACCCGTCTCTCATTGACATAGTTATGAAATACAATTTCTTTTGCCCTGACCCGGCCTTCACTGACGTTCACAAACTGAGACAAATCTCAACCTAAGATTGTCTCAATATTGACTGACATTCTTACCTGAGCAAATCTCAAAAAATACAGAAATACAGAATCCCCAAAGAAAGCCCATTACGACAAAATTTAAAATGTTGCAGGGTCGGTTTGATTGAGCCTGTTCATGGACGGCACTGAAAAGTGAAAGTTACCGTCCACGCCCCCTAGCACCGGCTTAAGCAGAATTCAACATTTTAACACAAAAAATGGTTACATTTTGAATTTAAAGACATCCGCAGATGAGTTCATACGGCGATTATCATGGAACCTTCAATGCGACACAGTAGTGCCATTCCATAAAAAGCGGCGTATGGTCCCCAAGTAAAAGAATGCGTGTGCCCTAAACGAGAAAAACAATGGGCGGAACTAAATAAAATTGAATTTTGAAAGGGGACTTGAGGTTATGAAGCCTGTGTATAACATACAAGACGTCTAAAAGCAGGCGATTTATCCTAAGGGTGATTATACAATATTCAAGTATGAATACTGGAACCACCTAACTTGAAAAAGGCCAAATTGAAGAAACTTCAAGTACCACATAACGTGTATACACAACAATAATGTCGTGCGCAACGAACTTCGAGGATCGAAATATAACATCATTGATTAAATATACGGGGAGACATTTTACAGCCGCCATACGGCACAAATAACACGGATGTGACAATAAAATAGAGAAATACAGAATCCCCAAAGAAAGCCCAACGCGACAAAATTGAAAATGTTGCATGCTCGGTTTGATTAAGCCTTTTCATGCACGGTACAGGAAAGTGCAAGTTACCTTCCACGCCCCCTAGCACCGGCTTAATAAAGCAGAATTCAACATTTAAACACGAAAATTGAGCTTTCACTAATCTTTTTTTCAACACTGTAAATTTTTCACTACTGAGACAGTGTTTTCCGAAAGACATAAGCGGCTTTCTTGACATTGTTGGTATTATTAATATATACCACAGAGATTTTTTTGTTTCAAAGTAAATAGATGCTATTTTATATAAGCTGGCGAAATTGACGGTGCAAGAGAGAAATTATCGTTTATGTTGTTGTTCTTGTTTTTGTGTTTTTGTTGTTGTTTTTGTGGATTTCTTTTGCATTTTTGCATGAACAGCATACTTTCAACCTGAACCCTATTTTCAAATTACAAACAATTACAAATGTGCACATATTAAATTAATTCATTATCTGCTTAATAAGTAGATAGCGAAATTAATTTGACAATTTCTCAGTAAACTATGTTTATTGCTGATGATAATAATTGAACGATAATGAATGTAATTTTCTTTAAAATTGCATTCCCTCTTAATTAAATATGCACGATGTCTTACGAAAATAAAATTAATTTTTTGCAAAGAAGTTTAAAAAATGCAGCATAATTCAATAAATTTAATTTTACAATTAACATTGTGACGTCATGCTTTTATGATTTTTTAAAGCAGTGGGCAAGATTTTATCGCACAATAATCAGTCAAAGTCGCTTATTCTTTCTCTCGTTTCTTAAACAAGGATAAGTAATAGAAAGAGCATCGATACACGAGGCTATCTGATTTGTTCGAGGGGGCGTTGTCCCCCGAGTATTAATCAGATTGTCGAGTGTTTTGATGTTCCTTCTATTTTGTATCATAGTCAAACATAAAAGCACGTTCTCTGTTGTCACAATATGAAACCCCGGAAGAAAGTAACCAATGGACGAGCATCTAAATATTATATCTCTGTCGCTTTCCCTTTCTCTGCCGTCACAATTAGTAAACCCCAGCAAAAATGAGCCAATCAAAGGGCATGCTCTGGAGTGCGGGCTACTAATACCTGAACTCCAGTTAACGCACTGTGCATGTATATGTATACAATTTAACTCTACACATTTTCGACAGAAAGGTTCCCAAACTATGATACAATGTATGTTTATCTGTTACAATAACAAAACATTGTGATAATTAACACTAGCTTAACTGAGACCTTATCTGAGACAGCCAAAGCCTTGTCTCAATATATTTAAGATCAATCTCAAATCTCAAGTTAAGATTTGTCTCAGGGAAAGGTAGTGGAAGCCAAACTTAGAAATATCTTAGTCTAAATTTCTAAGTTGAGAAGAATCTCAAAAGTAGTGGAGGACCTCACTCTAGACGAGTTTTTTCCTTCCTTGTCTATATAAAGCAGCCATCTCGCATTTTGATTTTGGGAGCAGTCAATTTTTGAGAGGATATGTTTGTCTGGAGAGGTCATTTTTTATGATAAGTCACACTTTGCTTAACAATCGCTTGACAGGATCAATCCTTTTACTTTTTTCAATTTCTTACCACTGTAGTATATGAAATGCAAAACAATGACGCTTTAGTAGTAATAAAAGACGTCAATTATACATTTTTCATATTTTATTATCACAAACTGACATTTTAATAACAGTAATGATACAATAACCCTTCAAAAGTCATATGGAAAAGACACACAACCATCTCTCACTCTCTTATCAAATACAATCCTATACTGTTTTGTTTGGGTCAGTGTTAAAAGTTTAGCTTGATCACGGTCTCTATATATTTTATGGTAATCTGTTACGGTTACAATTTCATTTGAAGGGCGTCTAACCATATCTTTGATCGTTCCAAATTTTATTGTATTTTTGTTTTTAAAGTTAAGGGTGATACCCTTTACCTTGCAATGAATTATATTACCAGTTTCATCCGGATCTTATAATTTGTAGACAAAACCTTTTGATCCACTTGTCACGAATATTTTGATTCGATTTCCAGGTATTTCGTCAATAAGATCGACTAAATAATCACCTAGGGAGGGCACCCTGTTTCCAGGTTTTGAGGAAAATACGACATACTTAAACAATGCACGCGTACCTAAATTTTCTAAGTAAGAGTATAATTTGAGTCTGGCTTGAGCTGTTTTGTAAGCAGCTATGACAACATTTGTTTTCCCAGAAGGATCTACAAATTCATCCCTTTATTTCCAACGTACTTCTACCAGTTCATTAGAAAAAAAGCTAACTGCTGTTACTCCTTCCCTATCGCTTGTCAGTTTTTCAAAATAACAGGCAGGATCATCGATAAATTCTACTTGATTATTGTTTTCTTTGACCAAATTTTCCCAAAAATGAATTGAGCATTAACTTAGCCAAGGCCCGCATTCCCGGATTTTTCTCTATGTTATGGCAGTTGAGTTGTATCCCCTCTTTTTATACCCCACCACAAA